CTCTCTCTCTCTCTCTCTCTCTCTCTCTCTCTCTCAGACAGGCTTTCTCTGTGTAGTTTTGGTGCCTGCATATGAGCAGTATACACCCTCTACTGTGCTGTTTAGTGCCAGCAGCTGCCTGTACTGCAGTACTGCCCTTCTTTTGCTACTGACCTAGTTCAAAAGTCTTCCTGTGCAGAGTAGGATTGGATCTTCATTCCCAAGTGCCAAATCTGCGGCCTCCAAACAGTAATGAGGTCCAAGAAACAGCGCCGTATTACTTCCTCCTAGTGGTAGGAGATGCCAGGTACAATAATTTACCTTTTACTTCAGCAGGCCTTGGATGATTAGACCAGCAAGAACATGGAGGCTCCCGAGAGCACCTTTAGACCATCTTCTCACCTGATCATCAGCTCCAACCAATGGGACAGACACCTTAGTGCAGTGCAGCAGTGTGGGTCAGCTACCTTAGAGATTCATGATAGAGAAGCGGCATAGCTCTGGGGAAGACACTGAGTGGACACTGGTGCCTTCTCCCAGGGAACAATGTGAGTAGTGTGGCAACTGCCCCATTGCTCACCCCAGGGACTATCAACAGTCCACCTGCCACTGCTTCACTGGACCACTTCTAAACCCAACTGCTGTCAATCAAGTCCCTGAAAACAGAGCCTGCAAGCAGGGATTCAATATATAGTGCTCTCAGAAGGGATGTAAGGAAGAAGAATGAGGTCAAGGAGAGGATGCAAGCAGAGCTGAGGAAGAAGGGCTATTAGGGTTCTCTAGAGGAAGAGCTGAGAGGAGAGAGAGAGAGAGTGTGTGTGAGTGTGTGTGTGTAGGGGATTATTCATGTGGTTTTCGAGATAGGATTTGTGTAGCCTTGGCTGTCCTAAATCTAGTTCTACAGCAGATTCAGAGATCCACTTGCCCCTACCTCCTAGAGTGCTAGGATTAAAGGCATGGAACCCTCCACCCCCACCCTGGCTTAAAGGGACTTATTCACTTGTTAGAGTGGTTTACAGGCTGTGGTCCAGGTAGTCCAACAATGGTTATCTGCCAACAGATGGTCCAAGAATCCAGTAGTAGTTCAGTCCACAAGACTGAATGTCTCTCTTCAGCATATTCAAGAATCCTGAAGTAGGCTCTAATGTCAGTGAAGGAATGGACTTGCCAGCGAGAGCAAGCAGGCAAAGAGCAAACTTACTTTCTTCTGTCCTTCTTAAAGGCCGCCAGTAGATGTGGCCGCCATTAAAGGTAGATTTTCCACCACAAAAGATCCAGATGAAGTGGGTCTTCCCACTTCAAATGATTTAAGAAAAAAAAAATCTCACAGCTATACACACCTACTTGGGTTTTAGGTAATTACAAGTTGGTAACCAAGAATAGCCTTCACAAGGGTCAAAGACTGAATTTTAGTTAGTCCCAAGTTGAGGTGGAGTGGACTTATGAGCATATATACCCCCGCCCCCCAGAGCTTGCTGACTTCTCAGACACAGCAGCCACTGTTCTGCTGAGGCAATTCCCTATAGACTGCAGCTTGAAGCAGTCAATGCTTACAGCAGTGATGAGGGGCATGGGTATCTATAGACACCTGCACAAACTAACATAGTTACATTAAAAAAACCTTTTTTTTGGAGACAGATCTATTCAGCCCCAGCTGACCTGGAACTATGCAGACCAGGCTGGCCTTGAACTCATTCACCAGCATGTGTCACCATACCTGTTTTTTTCTGCTTGAGATAACAGTTTCACTATTTAACAGTCCTGGCTATTCTAGAACTCTCTGTAGACCAGGCTGGCCCCAAACTCATGAGATACACCAGCCAATGCATCCCAAGTTTGGGATCAAAGGCATGCACCACTATCCCTAGCTAAAATAAAAAAAAAAAAAAAAAAAGTATTTGTGAGTTTAGTGCCCATTGAGGCCAGAGATCATCAAATCCCCTAGAACTAGTTACAGGTGACTGAGCTACTCATAATGGAGCCTGGGAACTAAATTCTGACTTTTGAGACAACCTTGGCTATCCTGGAACTCCACTTTGTAGGTCAGGCTGGTCTCAATCTCATACAAGATCTGCCTGCCTCTGCCACCATGGCTGGCCATGTATGGGTATTTTATTTACATTTATTTAAGCACACCGTGCCATTCCAGCTGAGCTTCAAGGGTTGCACGTTACACCACCCCCCCCCCCATCAGATATATGAAGGAAAACTAACTGGCCATATTCCAGGTTATGTTTAAGGCCTAATATTCTTTGGGGAAGGGGAACGGGGGAGTCACAGATACATTACCAGCTGGTATTGGACAAACCCAGGTCCTACTATGCCCATCCACAATGCACCAAAAATTGGCTCTTACAAGAACTATTCCTGCCTGGGTCAAAAATAAAGTCTAAACTGGGAGTGGTAGTGCATGGTTTTAATATCACTTGAGAGGCAGAGGCAGGCAGGTCTTTTGAGTCTGAGATCAGTCTGGTCTACAAAGTGGAGTTCCTGGACAGCCATGGGGGTTACAGAGAAACCCTGTCTCAAAAAAACCTAAGAGAACAGTCTTAAATCACTACCATAGGTGGGTATAAGCTCCAAGTTTACAAGACGACTTCAAAGGTTCATGGGGCCAGATTCTGATGGGGTAGGGGCAATGATAACATTAGCTGATCATTTACCTATGCTATCCCACTCAGTGGAGTCCCACTAACATGGAGTTGGACCTTTGGGATTCACATGGAGTAGAAACTTCCACAGCTTGTACCCTCATCTAAATATGGTATACAAGCCCATGCAGAATCTAAGTGAGGATAGCAAACATGCCTACCATCTTAATACTTAGGAGGTATAAGCAACAGAGTTCAAGGCCAGTTTCAGTACCCATACTGTAGGCCTTAATTAGTAAGATGTACAAGGAACCAGGAAGGTAGTCCAAGGGACAGTCGAGGATTAATGGTGTCTGAATTCCCTTAGTAAACATGTATTGAAGATTTGGAGCCGAGCAGTGGTGGCGCACACCTTTAATCCCAGCACTTGGGAGGCACAGCCAGGCGGATCTCTGTGAGTTTGAGGCCAGCCTGGTCTACAGAGTGAGATCCAGGACAGGCACCAAAACTACACGGAGAAACCCTGTCTAGAAAAAAAAAGGGGGGGGGGCAGTTTCCAATCTATAGAATAGATTCTACATCTTAAAAAAAGCCAGTGGGGGCTGGAAAGATGGCTCAGAGGTTAAGAGCACTGGTTGCTCTTCCAGAGGTCCTGAGTTCAATTCCCAGCAACCACATGGTGGCTCACAACCATCTATAGTGGGATCTGATTCCCTCTTCTGGTAAGCCAGTAACCCAATGAAATGATCAACCTGTTTTCACACACAGGGCTGACATACATATACTCCACAGAATACCTGATATTCAAATCCAAAGCATGAGCTATAATACTGGAACAGCTTTCAGTGCTTTTTACTCATTATAAAATGAAAACATAGCTTAACTTTAATATTAAAGCAGAGACAAAATTTAATTTTAACATTGTTTTAATCAAGTAATGTAGCTGTTTGAAACAGGAAACTTTTTAAGACACCTTAATAGAGCAATGAACGATTGATTACTCTTAAACCCCAGATTGTGTGAATTTGAACCCCATTGGTTTGGCACCAGACAGAACAGTGGCTGAAGCCCAAGCCCCTTCCTCAGTATTTGAGACCCGACTGTGACTGCTCTAAGACAAAATCTTACCAGCCTGAGGTTGAATATGCTGATCTACTTGAGAATCTCATGATGACGACAAATGAATGGTTGGGCCATGCAACAAAGAACCTGAAACCTACGAAATGAGTTTGCAATACCTCTTCTTTGGTGTGACACTGCATATCCCCTTGTTACCATTCCAGGTATATGGCTCCCATTCCATGCTCAGCAGACTCAAGGTTTTAATTTTACCAAAAATTTGTATCATTTCAATGCAAAAAATTTACATATTTATTAAAGTTTTATAATGTGAGATGGATGACATAGAAGGTAAGATCTAAACAATGTTATGAGCTAGTATGCCACACAAATTAACCATCTGGGTTCTTAACTCCCAGAATGCACTTTTGTGGGGAAAGGAGTATATATGATAACAAGTTTTTAATGTTGAAGACGAGTATGCAAATATAATCAGGAACCCAGATGGAGTCTACACCAGCTAATGGGTAAGGAATTCACTTGTGTCTGAAGTTCAAGGCTCTGAATGGGCTGGTCAGGCCCTAGCAACTGCACCCACCCAGTGGCCATCACCCGACTTCTCAGGTGCCCAACTATATTCAATGTGAAGTAAAAAACATCCCAAGTCTTACACCAAAATACAGGCTCTGACTCAGAAGTATGATTTTAACTTTCTCTTTAAATAAGACAATTGGGGGGAAGGGGGTCAAGCTTGAAACACAATAACACTTATTTTGGCAAGATAGCAACCAAAATCTAAAGTACAACTATTATATCCAAATTAAAAGGCATTGAAGAATAAACCATAATATTGGGGAGTGGGGTGGGGAGAACACATCAAACACAAGATACAGTATGTCTAAACATCTTGAAATTATAATTTAAGGGTAAAAGCTGAACAATTATGCTGTTTTAGCTAGGAATTAAGTGCACCTTTTCCTGTTTCTCCCAAATAGAAGAGTTTACGATTTAATCACACCTCAAAGCTTTTTCTCTCATTACAAAGCAACCACTAAATACACACAAAATACTTATTTGTTAATTATTTCCCTGGCTCATAAATGTGCAAAGCACATGACTCCAAAGACTACAATTTGGGGTGAGTGTACACAAACTGAAAAACCACAACTCCAAATTTCAAAACTTGTTCTTAAAACCATAGGACAAACAGGTTGTTTTTACTTCTCATGAAGATGTCACACTGTTATTTATTCATTAGTCTCCCTTAGAATGATAAAAATTATCAGTTGCCAATCTGAACAGATGAGGACTGGAGATACAACTTTTAAAATATCCCATTTCTTAATGGCTGAGTAAGGTCATTACAATGGTTTGCATTCTATAAGTTTCAGCACCTGCAATCTACCAGGCTCAAGGACCTTAAGTTAAATGGTATAACATCCTATAAGTAGCCAATTACTTCAGTATAAGCCATTCAGAGCCCAAAGTCTGAAGAATGACCAAAATCAAATCTTTATTTTTTAGTAACTGTATAAATGTGATCCAAATGTGTCCACCACTAGTTTTTCCAAAAGAAACATGCTATAAATAAGCAAACTACAACTGCTCACTGATAAGTATGGACTCCCTAGATGTCTCATTGGGCTTAATTATAGACCACTCACAGTAATAGCTTTTTAGTATCAAGTGTAGCATGATGTTAAGCCATTTGAGCTTTTGCACATACATGTTGCACTTCTGGCTGATAATGGAGAAAAATTTGCAGCTTTACACTGTTAAGCTAAGTTGCATCCATCCTTTTAAATGGCATCAATATCAATGTCATCATCCTTGTTGTCAGACTTCACAGTTTCAACTTTTGGTACACTGGCAGTCTTCGAATATACCACCTGATAAGAGAAATCATTTCATCAGTTAAATACAGGCATTGAGTAACCACCCCTAGTTATATTATTTCCATTAAGTTTCTCTCATTTTTAATTTTTTGAGATATTGTAGTATTTTCCCTTCCCTTCCCTCCCTCCCAGGGCACCCCCCCCCCCATTCAGGGCCTTTTTTTTCCTTCCATTTTTGTGTTTTGAGACAAGGTTTCTTTTCATAGCTCGTAGCTGTCCTGGAACTCAGGAGATCCTCTGCCTCCTGAGAGCTAAGAAGGTACATGCCACCACATCCATCAGTAATTTCTTTATCTTAATAGATTATGCCTAGGGGTAAATGTCTATCACTGGGTTAATCTAATTATTTTCTAGGGCTGGAAGAGGCAGCTCAAGGTTAGAAAGAATGCTTGCTTACCTATCACTCTCCAGAACACATATAAACATTGTTTCCACCCTTCGAAAGACCATACTTTGTGCCACCACCCAGCTGATTATACTTTGTTTTATTTTTAATCTGAAATTTGGAGCTATACTTGGGATCAGTTCAAGGCTAACTAGGGCTACACAGGAAAAACAAAACTTCAACATCCATTGCCAATCAAGTACTCAATAACATGTTCCCTAGCTTTTACCTCAATATTTTCATCTTCATCTTCTTCTTCACCACCAGAAGATTCTTCCTCTGCTTCCTTCAACCATTTAATAAATGGTTCTGCTTTGACACGAATCTCTTTGGCAAGTTCTTTTGAGACATATTTCTTAGAGGCCTAAAAAAGTTTTTTAATTTAAAGAATTTTCTCAGTGAAGATTTGAAAATATAAATTACTTGTATAACAAGCTATTTAAAGGGACTGGGTCATACCCTAACCTTCAACAGTACATACATACTAAGAGACTAAACAATTCCTGCTGCCTTTTAACAATAAAGGGACTCAAAAATCACATTGGATTAACATAGGAATTTAATCTAATGTAGACAAACTAAAGACATTCTTCATAACCCACCCCCACCAGCTGTTTTGATGATTCTGAACTTCACAAACAATTTATGTGCTCCCCACCTTTTCCGACCAGCTGATGATGACCTCCTCTTCTAAAAGGTCTGCATCATACATCTCCTTCAAGATATGTGGAATCTTGGAGATCAGCTGAGCTTGATGCATTGCTACCACACATTCCAAACCATGAAGGAGGTATCGCTGAGCCTTTTTGTTGTTATGACAAAACTGCAAGTAGACAGTTAGCATCAATAATAGTCCCTATTCTAAGACAATTCAGTACTTTAAGAAAACATACTCATTCTCTTAAAGCATGGCACATGTAACAATGGCTTAAAAAGGTCAATGCACAGATACCCTTCCCATTTGCAGGTACTCCCACACTTGATCAAGTGGGCCAATTACCTATTTTCAGGATGACAATATAGTGGACTGAAACAACTTAAAGCCAAAGTCTCTTACTCTTAAGAAATGGCGCCTGTATTTCTTGATCTGCTCTCTTATCTTCTCGTTAAAGAGAACTTCAGTCAAAACAAGAGGACCCATAGCTTTTACATCCAGTCTTTCTGCCTCAGCAACAATTTCTTTATCAGATGAATCAATAATGCCCTCTTCTTTCTTTTTCTGGAAATAAAAAATTCAATGAAGTATAAGCATATATTGCTATGCTTTAGAGAGTAGTCCTCCTTTCCAGGATTTCTACCCAATTTATGGAAGTATGCCCACTATAGACGCCCAAAATATTTCTTGAATAAGTAAAGAAAAGCAAATACAAGCATCAAATTGAAAATATACAAAGGGAGGGTGTGAGCCGGGCAGGTGGTGGTGGTGGTGCACGCCTTTAATCCCAGCACTTGGGAGGATCTTTTTGAGTTCAAGGCCAGCCTAGTCTTACAGAGCAAGATTCAGTAAAGGGGCAAAGCTACACAGAGAAACCCTGTCTCAAAAAAACCAACAACCAAACAAACAAAAAAAACCCAAACCAAACAAACACACAAACATACAAAAAACAAAAACCCACAAAGGGAGGGTGTTGGCATACGCCTTTAATCCCAGCAGAGTGTGGAAGATCTCTATGAGCTCCAGGCTATCCTGGTCTACATGAGTGCCAGGACAGCAAGGGCTACAGAGACCCTGTCTCAAAAACAAACACTGAATAAATACAATTCAAAGATATCAGAGAAAAAGTTAACCAATTATAAAGACAACAAACATTTCAAAAGAGAAAGGTTTATGATGTGTTATTTGTAGATCAAGCATATTTACCTTAACAAAATCAAACAGGATGTTAACACGCTCTTCTATAGTTCTTTCCAAATCATCGCTGAGTGTCAGAACTTTTGCATGGTCACTGATTTCATCCATTCTGCGCCTCTGAGCTTCCTCAGTTGTATCCTCCCCCCAATCATCATCCTCCTCTTCTTCCTGCTTAAACAAAAGCAAAGATCTTCAAATAGTGGTATTAGTCACATTGACACAGACCATATCATAAGCCCGGAGAATGTATCTTTTCACATGCTCACAACAAAATGCTAACCCAGGCTCAAAAATATATTCAGTTTAGCTCAACTCAAGC